CCGATGCAGCTGTAACGCAGGCTGCAACTCTTTAGTTTACAGACAAAAACAACAACAAATATTATAATCATGTGTACCCTTATCAGATCCTTGATGGCATTAAAAAATGCCAACCCCTAGCCATAAATGCAGTTCATTGAATTTCGTGCTCGTTGTTTCGATTTCATGCGAAATCTCCATCCGTACATCTTTTAGTTTTTGCTGTAGCTGTTGTAGTTGTTGTTGTTCATGGTTTGCTCTCTGGTCGGTCTTGTTGCAAATCGTTGTCATCTTGTATGGATTTTTTTTTTGTTTCGTACCACACTCCAGTGCCCCTTCACGCCCTGCCACATATTTAGGGGTTGGTTTTTTGGGCAACTGCTGGGCTATTGTTGAGCTGTTGCTGCACTGCAGCCGCCTTCATCATCCATCCAGCCAGCCAACAGGCCAGCCGTCCATCCATCCATCCATCCATCCATCCATCCTTCCTCAGCAGCAACCCATCTGCTACAATTTGGCAATGGAACAGTGCGCGCCGTATTTTCGACCACCGTCACCCGAAAGTTGGCGGTGGCGGCTTTTCGTTGTGGGTGGTGTTGATGTCAGAGAGATTTCGGGGAGTGGCTGCAATTTTTGATTTATTGCGTACGGAACACATTTTATGGCTAAAATATGCAGCCTATTAGCTAAGCTTTAAAATATGGACTACACGATTCCTTGCATTGAGTTGGTTGCCCCTTTTCGGCAGCTGTCGATGGCAATTCTTGCGGAACTGCAGACCCATTTATGTGTTTAACAAATTCATTTGTGCACATCCTTTGCATTTTAAAGCGCGTTCCAAGTGTCAAAATGTTTCTCCTCGGCTTTTGTCTATACAACGCTTTCTTGCTCTCGCCCCCTACGCTCCTTGGCTCTCTTTTGCACGTTTCTATAGCTCTCGCTCTATCGCTCTGGGCCGCTCACTCGGTCTGGCGCAAGCAGAAAACGGGGCCCGGCGCCTTATTTGCAGCATCCTGCTTATCCATTTTACTGATATCAAATACAGACACACACACACACACACTCTCTCACGCGCGTACATTTGTGTGTCTGTGTATATGAGTGTGTGTGGGGTTGTGTATAGGTTGCTGTTTCTGTTGTCGTTGGCTGCTGCTTTGAATTAAAAATGGAAAATTGATTTTTCCTCTTCTATGTGTATGTGTTTGTGTGTGTATGTATGTGCCTGCGCCTATGTGCGTGTGTGTGTGTGTGTGTATGTATGTATTGTTAAGTGTGCGTGTACGCTTTTCTTATGCCCCTGCTTATACCGGAAATTTTCATGCTTTGCGGTTAAGCTTTCCCATTTATTTTTTAACCGGGCGCAGCTCCTTTCGAAAGTAGAAACGGACGCTTAACAATGTTAATGCCCCGACTCAGCAGTACAATTTATTTCAAATACAATACTGCTGTGACAGGACAATATCACTGGCAAACGTTGCTTGTAATCCATGATCCATCCACACCTTTATTTCAAGATCAGAAAAGGAATGGCATGGCCTATCCAAAGTGAATTCACACTATGCTCCAAAACAAATTAGTCATGACACTGGACGCCCATCAATAAGTAATAATAATTTTTTATTAATGTTGGTTTTGGTATAGAAAGTTTTCCGCCTCGCTAGACGCTTTCATTCTATCGTCCGTCGTTTGTTCGAGAAATTGCACGTACGAAAACCCAAAGTTGACTGAAAGGCAACCAACGCTCGACAAATGGCAGCAGCAGTAAAGCAGCAGCACCAGCAGCAGTTAAATATGTGAGGGTTGTCGACCATAGAGGAGCGGAGCACGCATTTCCTTCCAAAGCTACGACTGTATTGAAAACTCTCCCCTGCAAAACGCGAGGGTTGCTCACCGCGCCGAAGCAGACGCAATCCCTCAACATAATTGTCCCGCTTTTGAATATTTCAAAGACAAGGCAGATTTTTCGCTGTGTATCTTTCTGTACACTCACATTTGCGCATGGGGGTGGTTTTTCGCACATCATTTCCAATAGAGAGCCCAGCCAGCTAGCTGAGCTGAGCAGCTAGCAGTCTTTTAGCCAACCCCCATTGTTGTGATATATAGACATTTTCAAACGACTTCGACTTAACGTCGACGCCGACGCAGACTGAGACTGCAACTACGACTGCGACGTCTCAGGAAAACGTCGCGTCGGTCACTTGGCGTTCAAATAATGTGACGTTCAACTTGCACTTTATGCTCGATGCAGCTTCGGAGCGTTCCATTTTCAATCCTGTTCTCCCATTTCCAAGCATCAAACGCCCTCTCGTTAATAAAAGTTAAATGTAAAAACAATAAAGTTGCTCCATATGCTGCAGTTTGCCAAACCCTTCGCACCCTGCCTCCCTCACACAACACACTCCCACCCTCCATGTTCTCATCCTCACGCCCCATTTTCATTTTCTCAATTTTGTGGTATTTTTCTCAATGAAAATTCGCGCACCGACATCTACCGGTGCCTGGGCCCGGCATAATTCAGTGCTCGTCTCATACATACATACATACATATGTACATACTCCTCTATATAGAACGCGATATTGCAATTCGGTATCCTCGAACATAAATTTTAGCGCCTCATAGTTTCGCATTTTGGGCAGAAATATGTATGTATGAAAAGAGAGAGAGACATGGAGCGAGAGGGAGGTGGATAGGATAGGGAATGTTGAGGAGAAGGGCGATATGAATGCTATCTACTATCTACGCTGTAAGGTGCGGGAAATGGATGCAATTTGTTTCCTGCCTGGACTAACAAATTTGTTGCCATAACCTTTTGTGTCATTGTTATAATGGTCACAATTGTCGGCAACCCATGGCTTAGTGGTCACTTAAATTAGTCACCATTTTGTGGCACTTCCGCTGCCATTTGCATGCTCAGGTATTTAATGCATTCTGGTACACTTTGTGGCGCTAATTAAATGATATATAGAAATATAAATAACTTCTGCACGATGCGATTGTGATACAATTTCTGTAAACATAGATGCGTACCAATGTAGATGATTTGGAGAGGCTATTCCATTTGCGTCGAAGTCATTCAATACAAATATAATTATTAATATTGAAGAGTTACATTTTGAAATACCTGCAAGAGTTTAATGTCCCTGACCAATACCTTCCATTCAAGTTTTTGCCATATTAGTACCTTTCTTTTCAAAAGCCTGTATGTGGTCGTGAGTGCGAGCTTTGGAAATGTTTACTACATCATAAGATATACATATATTTGAAAGCTATATCTTGCCCTAGAATATTTTTTAAATGGTTCTCTCAAATAGTATCTCTAGTTCCATTTGGTGTGAAATAGAAACATACTTGAAATAATGTGCAGCATACTTTTGGGGGCTAAGAATTAAATTTTGCACGCAACTTTTGTTGAAAATGATTTTCCCCTAAAATACCATCACTAATAAATAAATAATGATAAATCAATTATAAATAAATAAATTATAAATAAATAAATAAAGATGAAAATTGGAAGGAAAAAACTTTTAAAATTTAATCGAGAATTGATCAGAATTACGTTCAGCGAATAAGCACCAATAATCATAATACTCTTACAAATTTTTAAAAATAGCTTATTGCCTCGTAAAAGCAATTTTTACAACTGTGGTGGGCTGTTTATTTGACGCATTTAAAATATGTGGGCATACAAATTCGACGGACCAAAAGTAGGACCCAACATGCGCACTTGTTAATGTTTCTAATCGAATTACAGTTGAGGTGCTGCGCTTGCCACACTTCCTGTCACCCCCACTGCCAAAATCGCCCCCTGTGCTGATGTCACCGCAACGGTAACAATGGCCTAGAAAATCCACTAGTAATTTGGTTAGCCAAATAGTAGTATGCCTTGCAGGTAACAGAGGATCTCTGGTAAATACGACGAGCATAATATTCAATAATCCGCTAAATTCTGAACAGACATTTCATGTATGCCATGGCTAGCCTAAATACCTATAACTCATCATCAAACTCATCAATACATGCCTGATATCAATGTGGCAAAGATTTCGGCTAGCAGCCATAAAAATGCCAAAAATCTTCCAAAGTATATTTGTGCCACACGACGCACGCAACAACAAAAATACATACAACAATGCTACATATAATGCCGAGCATCTTGTACTCTGTCCAGCGGCGACGTTTGATTGAATTATATTGCAATTTATATCAATATTTTTGGTATCCTTCGGCATAATTTCCTGCACGCGTGACACACGTCGTCTGCCTCGCCTGCCTCGCTGCCCCCGCGGAGTCCAAAAATCAATAACGCACTTGCCCCCGACGCTGAAGTCGACGCTGACGTCGACGAAGGCATCGTCTCACGTTTAGTGACGTGCCACGCGCTTTTGCAATGAGAGTCATTTGTTGTTGATTGCACAGACAATATTATTTATTTTTCCTTTCCTGCCATCTGACAAAAACGCACCTTCAGTTTAGTTTATATCCCTAATGCGAGAATTTCCCAGATTTGGAGGGATATTTCCTTCCCCTCAATCGCGGCCAATGCGCAAACTCATTGGAAGTGGACAGAACGAAAGTACAGTTGAAATCTCTAATATGTCTAAAGCACGAAGTTGGACGAGATGGATATGAGAATAGATGGGTGCGCTTGCGCCTTTTTAAAATCCTCAATGACCGACTAGGTAATTAACAACTGACTGGAATTAATTGAGTCAGTTTTGTTGTGAGGCAGATCTCCCAAGCTTAGCGTCACTGTAAATTTGTGTGACCACTGCTTTTCAAATATTGCACTGCTTGCACTGCTTGTTCAAATGCGGCGCTTCTTAAACTGTAACACGCTGGGTTGCGCACTCATTCGAAAATTCAAATATTTTAAAACTAAAACTGTTAAATCCGATTTTAAGAAAGATTAATAAATTTTTAAAAGATTTATGTTTTTTAATCTTATTTATCAGTAATTATGATTTTTAAAATTATTTTTGCACTGTTTCCACGTTTATTGTTACGATAAAAGGCTATAAAATAATACTTTTAATTTAACTTTATTTCAAATCGTATTCAAATAATTATGTGTTTGCTTCCAAATGAGTTTCATTCCAATTTATCGCATTCGCGTGCTTATCGTATACATTCCGAGCAGGCCAATTGTGAAACGAAAATTCGTTTGTGCGCGCATCCTTTTTGCGAATTCCAATAACTCCGGCCGGGACTGTTTGCTTCTTACTTTTTCTTCTTCTTGCCGTCTAAAAAATGGACAAAAACATAAATGTCCATATTGACTCTACAATGACGTCGGCGTATTAATTCGCACACGACCTCCAAGCTAAACATTATAGGGGCAATATATGACATTTCTCAGTCCAATTGGAAATGCCATATATGCGCCACAAACACTCGGGATACTCTCCAAAAGCAAATAATATTTAAATCTTGATTCAGTATTCTCAAATGCAATTCGAAATGCGTGCCGAAGGTGCTTTGTTCAAGCAAGTAGGGCCACACACAGAGCAACCGCCGACAAGGCGGCATGAGCGGCAACCATCTTGCCGTTGGCCTTGCCACCGGGCTTTGAACTGGACCCTGCACCAGCGGTTCTAGCGGACGGCTTTTTATCGTCTGCAAGCATAGAAAATTTTCAAAAGAATAGATTTTGTTTGCCCATTGAAAAAGCCTAGTGAAAATTTTCCACGCCTCACAGCTCGACAAAAGCGAAGAATGAAATATCGGAGCCGTCGAATGAAGCCAAAATTTAAATACTTTAGGATTCGAAAATCTACAATCGTTGGATTCTCGCGTGGAAAATACTAAACTATTGCATCAACTTACCATCAGCAGGTGCTGGACCAGACGCATCACCTTGAATAGCCTCTATTAGTCCTGGTGGGTTTGTGTACTTTTGATTAAACGTCAACATCTGTAATCACAGTTTTTGATTATATCGTGTCGAAACTACGATATCTGTACTATTATTTGACTTACCTTACGTATGGGAGGCGGATACCCCTTCCGTGTCTCAACAATTTCACATGGAGGAGGATTTTTGGTATAACTATTTGAGGAGTTTTAAATTATGTTACGGTTGTTAGGACCTTTCCAAGCAATACTTACTATACATCATCGCGTGTTAGGCTCTGACGTAATATATAAAGACACTCCAAAGTGAAGCCAGTAATTGTGAATATAATTATGGGAAGTGCCTGCAAAATTAAATATAAAGTTCAAAATAATGATTATTAAAATCTTTGTTTTTATTTCAAAATGTTTGTCGTTCCTGGCTTAATAATTTCCAGTTATATATGTATATTGAAGACAAAAGAACTACAAAAGAAAATACATATGCAATGAGATAGAAATTTGAAAATGTAGAAATTCAAAGCAAACGAACTAACTGCTCATTCTTCTTAAGCCGCCCCGACAACTCTGAGCGTCTGCATTTTACAACACTGCTCTTGCGTATCCTAAATTTCCTGGCAGAGGACAACCCTTGGCCCAGTTGCCTGACAGCTGTCTGTGCTGTGTGAATTTTCGTTTTTGAATTCCTTTGCGCACATCTATTCGTATTATTTTCGCTGCGCTGTCCACATCCTGCCCTCAAACCAAATTCCGCAGTCGTGTCGCGCAGTCGTACAGAACAGCAAGTCCCGAGTAGCAACGAGAAGGTAGTAAGCAGTGGAAAAAACGGAAACCAAACGAAAATCATTACCCGCCCAAGTTGAATTGCGTTTTAGTGCGGACGATACGTGCAAGTGTTCCTTCCATGTTGAGCAGCAGTTTCGTTTTTCGATTTTGACATTTGCATTTTATTGATGCCAGGCGCAATTTTGTTTGTCGCAACAAAACAATATAGGAAAGGAGCAGCGCCAGCACACGCGGCCAAAGTAATAGTTCGGGTCACTATTGGCAACACATGTACATAAATACTTTTTGCGCTGCCATTGAAACACATTTGTGTGAGCCAGTGTGGTTGTCAGAGCGCAGACACAAGCCGGCGAAAGTACTGAACATATTTAGGGGGACAGAGTTAGTGAATAAAGCGTGGCAAAGCAGAGAAAAATTGCACTAATCACTAAGTTTCCAATAAACAGTATTTGAAGACAAACGTCTCGTTACTCATAATCGAATTATCAGAGCTCAGACCAAACAAGAAATGCATGCGGTTGAGGAAAACGCCACCATTTTGCAGCGTCATGCGATTGCCGTCGCAGCCGCTGCCCATCGTGGACCTCCGCCACCGGGTGGAGAGCGCGATGATTTACTCACGGATAAATATTTCTATGCACACAGCAATCCGATTGACAATGCAGCCGCCGCTGCAGCCGCTGCGGCCGGACTCATCGATCCGCATCACAATCGGGATCTGCACAACGCGCTGGTCGCCTCCATAGCCAACAGCAATGTGGCGGCTATGAACGGCACATTGACCACAGCTGCGGTACTAAAGAGCGCCGCCGCCCAGTCGGAGCAGTCGAATGGAGCACAGGCGGGCGCGGTTACCAATGGCAGCGCCTCCGCAGCCCAGCAACAACAACAGCAACAACAGCAGCAGTCTCAGGCACAGCAGGCTGCTTTGGCGCTACTTAAGGGCGGAGGTGTAGGCGTAGGAGTAGGAGTAGGTGGGTCTGAGAATGCCAATGTCGGTGCCCAAAATGGTGCTGCCAATCTGAGCATCAAGTCGAGCTCATCGGGTCGCTCCACACCCAGCAACAGTGGCGGTAGTGGCTCCGATCCCGCACCAGGCAAACTCTTTGTGGGCGGCCTCAGCTGGCAGACATCGTCGGAGAAGCTGAAGGAGTACTTCAACATGTTTGGCACCGTGACCGATGTGCTGATCATGAAGGATCCGGTGACACAGGTAAGTGATTCGTAGTTCTATGTTTGAATAGTCTATGTCTGGCATCTATTTTGATTTATTTTCCTTCTACCTTCACCTTCTACCTTTTGCGTTTCGCTACGAATCTTTTTCGGTCCGGTCTTAGGCTTAAGGTTGGGAGAGCACATGCGCTTTGTATTTTTGCGTTTGCTTTGTGCGCCTTTGCGCTTTACAGCTATTCTCGTTGGATCCGCCCCGCCTCTCTTTTTTGCCCAGCCATCTATCTATCATTGAGAGACTTTGCAGCTGTCACTGCTGCTGCCAAGACAACAATAACAACGCTGTGGCTGCTGCTGCTCAACCAGCATTTAGCGCTGGTTCTCCTTATTTATTTATTACCTACATGCACACACACTTACATACATACCGACTGCTACCGTGCCGCTCGCCAACAGCTCGGTTTAGAATTACAGTTTCTGCAAAGGTATTGATAATGCACATTGGAAGACTGCGAGCCGAGTGTGGGGCCTTCAGTTTGGTAGTCACTGCCACCACACCACACCACGGCTGCAGTTTGAGAAGCTGCGTGAAGGGGCTAGTGCGGAAATCGCAATTTAGGCACGACCATTAAACAATTTGTCGGTTTTAATAAGCAGAAACGGCACAAACGCACCAATATCCTTACTATATCCGTACCGCGAATCAGGCTATACAGTAGAAGCTTCTCAAGGTGAATTTCATTCGTAAACAGTAGAATATACTATATAGAATATTAAAACCTTTTTTTATTCCATAGCTTATTTTTAAGACGTTTTTGAAAATATTTCAACCGATAGATTGTGAAAAATAAAACCCAGGAGATTATACTATTTTTAAATATACATAGAATTAGTCTTAAGTTCAGGCCGACAAAAGAATTGCACCAAAAAATGTATCAAGCCCAAAAAAAAAAAACATTTTTTTTTTTAAATGTATTATTGATTTCGACGTAACAACGAAATGTTTTTTGAATATAATTTGGAAATTACCCTTTGGAGAATTTTAGTAGGATGACTCGTCCTGTCTCCATTTAGCCAATCCCTACTGTATAAGCGAGCACACATTATTAACATTTTTATAAGCGCGTCGCCGCTCGCTGTGGAAACGGCAGCTGCCCTTTATCCGGTCGCAGCTGTTAAAAACTAACAATTCAAGAGCTGAGGCACAGGACAAGCGCTCGCAGAGCACAAAGTAGGGTAGCGATGGCCATGGGGATGGGAATGAGAATGGCAATGGGGTAGTTATGGTTCACCCTTCGCTGAACTGTTGCGCGGCATCGACGAAATTGCGCAATTAATAGATTCGCAATAAAAGGCGCTACCTAACGGAGTCGCCTTATTTCGGCCATATAGCAAACGCAAGCATACATTGCCCTTAAACATTGAATTGAATGTTCTACGCACACACACACACACTCCTCTCTTACTCTCTGACATGCATGGTTTATTCTCTGAAAAACAAAATAAATAAAAAAACAAAACAAAAACTGGTTTGTCGGCCAACTGTCTTTGGCCCTTGTACTCGCAGGAGTCTGAACTGAACCTGAACAATGAGCGCAGTACAAACAGCGTATCCTGTTTCATGCCGCCCTAGGTTAGAGCAGGAAGAGAAACCAAACACAATCTAGTCCAACTACTTTTTAAGTGTAACTTCGAAAGCTAGCTGTGTGTCAAATATACATGCATTGTATATGTATGTATGTATATAAATTGGATATATATGTGTACTAAAAACTAAACCTATAATTCATCCGAAAACTCTGACAAAAGTTGTGAGTACCATACCTTGCCGTGGGCCCCCAGACGGAAACAAAGAAAGAGGCAACTCTCAACACAGCTGCTCCTCACGACTTAACTGGAAATTGCGCGCGTGCGCTGTTCGCTATTTGCTGTTTGCCGTTTACCTGTGGCAGCTGTTTGTCACTCAGGTAACGCGCTCAACGACCAACAACAACATCCACAACCAGTACAACAACAGCAGCTCAGATGTTACCCAAAAAGGATAAGGCTTAGGTACATTTACTGAAAACAAAACCAAACCAAATTCAAACATCGTCACTATTCTCTACTGCAGTAAAAATAAATTTTAGCGTATATGTATTACTATACTCTATCTAAAAAAAAATATATATTTATATATACAGTCCGACGCATCTTAATTGTAATTTGTAACTCTGAGCGATTCGAAATTAATGTATTATGTACCTACTATATATACAAAGTAATTGATTTATCTCTAGAATTTCACCCACTTCCACGCATATTGAAGTTTTGTTAAAATGTCGAGTAAGCGTAAGCACAGCAGGTGGATAAGAACTAACTAAATGTAACTTAGTCGCAGACCGCAAGCCTAGTCACTGCCATCTAATTGCAGTCTTTAATTCCATCTCTTTAAACAACACACACACACGCATTTACATACATATATTTTAAGTATATATACTATATGTACGTAATGCCCTAGCAGTAAGTCAAACTCCATCCAGTACTTGCAGCGTCCACAGCCGCTCTTCTGTTAGATGTTCACGTTAACGAATCGAATACTATATATGTATGTATATATAGCAACTATATACTAAGTATATCCCACCACAAACATCCGACGTTGGTGTACAACCTTTGACCGTATTGTAACAACAACAATTTTTAAGTAACTCTAAACCTAGTTTAGATAGAAAATCAATTTACAACTTTAACTAGGTACTCCTATTTTCACAATACACGTATATACATATGTAACTGTTAGCTGTTATTCATTCGACAATAATGTATTATATCTTAACCTTAACCCTACGATGGATATGCCATTGTTGTCTTCTTTTCGCTTTTTACTACCTATTGGCGATTTATCTGTTTATTATCGATTTTGCGTTGTAGTTCTTTAGTTGTTTATTTTTTTAGTTATTAGTGATATGGAATCATTCCAATTTGTAACAAGAGCTCGACTCCGACATTATGTTGGCAACTCTTTTTTTTAAATAACAGGTCAGGTGCAAAATGGGATACGAATTCTTGAGCGGTATTACTTGTAATATACTGAAATGGAACTTAAAACTATTTTCCAAACATAACTTGTGATGCCATACACAATTTATACTGTCGAATATAAATGTCTCCAACTACCCTTGTCACAAAAGTATTCAAAAATATTATGAAAGTGAGCCCAGCTTTTAACTAGTGTTGAATAGTTTTACAATCGTTTTTGCACACGCTGCAGCGAATAAAATGAACAGCTGTTCGACTGACAACAGGGTTGTCTTATCATCTATTTTTCTCGCTTGCACACTAAACTCTATTTGGCAAAATCAAACCCAATGTCTAGTCCCATTTCAAGTCAAGTGTGGTATGTCCTAGGTAACTGATTAGAATTATTTGAATAAAATGAACCACAAATAATAATAATGAATCAACTTTAAAACTACAAAATAATTAAATAAATAAATAAACTGGTATTTGTAATTGAAATAAAGCACGAAATTTGTAATAGGTAGAATCAATGGAAGCATAGTATTAATAGTTACGGTTGTGGTTTTTCAAGTCCCCAATAATACGCCATAATCATTACAGTCCTGCCACATCAATAGGTAATTCCCCAAATCATTAATAATACCTCACAACTAATGTATAGTGTCGATGAACCCAAAGTTTTAGTTGTTTTAGACCACATTTTGTAATGTGCAATAATTATTTAATCAAGGGTAGTTCTTTATTATATGTATAGTATTTGTATTATAGATTTAAGTGCAAATAATTTGTAAAAATCGAGCTTCAACTCTAATAGCTCTAGAAGGGCGTTGATTGGAACCTGCTATGAATCGTCTCAACTATCGAACTTTTCCCCCTCCTCTAGCTTTAGAATTTATTTATCTTAGAAAAGAAATGTAAAATTTATTAAGAACACAAACATGCGTGTAATGCTTGAAAGAATATGGCCTGGAAACGCTCTAAAGAGCAATAACCAGTCTCGAGTTAGAGGGTTTTCAGAGCCAGCTGACCTTCAGACTAATATTCTAATATTCTTAGACGTAAGGTAGTCAGAGTGCCTCAAGGATTTAAAGCTGCAGGCTCGCTCTCGTGTTGGACTACAAACACTTTTAATATTTTAAAAATAAACTAATACATATATACACAATCCTTTTCTGATATCCACACACCACACAAAGGTGCTACTTTCAATGCAAAACGTATTTAAAGAAATCTGGTAATCTATTAAACCTTAGCTCCAGTTTGAATTGTGTATATATAGTATACTATATATATTTGTGGTCTAGTGGGTTCTCAATTTCTACACACAGCAATACACATACATACATATGCTTAAACAAGTGTATATATATAGAACATGAATGTATATCTCTATAACCACTTTATCATGTACGCGTATGTTTAACCGCTGACTTATAAGCAACGTATTTAACAGATATACCTACTACTATATATAGTAAAAGTTTGGTTTTTATTTCAACATTTGTATATACATACATACTACTTATATATGTTTTCAATATGCAAACATAATTTGTTGTGTTTTCCGTTATTTGGCTCAACGGCATAGAAACAAAGTAAATAAAAAACAAACAAAAAAAAACAAACTGTAAAAAACAAAACAAATAAATAAGCGTAACAAAAACTGTAGAAATTAGCAAAAGGCGGCGTACAATTATTTTACACGTAGCGTCGTACCGCACGCCATAAGGTACTTGACATGCATCAATCAATCAATCAGTCAATCAGCCAATATATCAACCAATCAATCAGTCGATCGATGTTCAATCAATCAATCAATCAGTTGCGTTTGTTTTATAACCGTCAATTGAACGAAGAAACCTTCAGTATTTGTGTAAAACTTTAGCGCGATATATGTAACTCTTATATTTATATACATGTATGTATGTCTATGTTTTCTTTCTCTCTATACTACATACATACTCGTACTATACACTCTATATATACCTGCCCACCTACCTACCCACCTACTACTTACTACTCTATCTCTTAACAACTCGACGGCAATTTGTAAAGTTGATTTTGATGATTGATTCTTACTTTGTTGGACTTTTTGCTAACGTTCCGTAGGCCTTTCACTAGTTAATAACTTTGCGACTTAGCCAAACGTATTTACGCTGCCTCTAACCAATTAAATTGATTATCTCTGTATATATATTTGGGTTATATTTCTAACTAATCATTTGATCTGCTCTCTTCCGCACGCCCGCCCCCTCACACTTACAACCTTACAGCGCAGTCGTGGCTTTGGGTTTATCACATTCCAAGAACCCTGCACCGTGGACAAGGTCCTGAAGGTGCCCATTCACACGCTCGATGGCAAGAAGATCGACCCGAAGCACGCCACCCCGAAGAATCGGCCGCGTCAGGCCAATAAGACCAAGAAAATCTTCGTCGGCGGCGTCTCGCAGGACACATCGGCCGAGGAGGTCAAGGCCTACTTCAATCAGTTTGGCGTCGTCGAGGAGACGGTCATGCTAATGGATCAGCAGACGAAACGCCATCGCGGCTTTGGATTCGTCACCTTCGAGAACGAGGATGTCGTCGATCGCGTCTGCGAGATCCACTTCCACACCATCAAGAACAAGAAGGTGGAGTGCAAAAAGGCTCAGCCCAAAGAGGCAGTCACACCCGCGGCCCAACTCCTCCAAAAACGCATCATGCTCGGCACCCTCGGCGTCCAGTTGCCTGCAACGCCCGGCCAATTGCTTGGCGCTCGTACCGCCGGTGTTGCAACCATGAACCCTCTGGCCATGTTGCAGGGACCCACACAGCTCCTGCAGTCCCCAGCCGCTGCTGCTGCCGCCCAACAGGCGGCCCTCATCTCACAGAATCAATTTCAAGTACAAAACGCTGCGGCTGCCGCCTCCATGGCTGCTGCCAATCAATCAGGCTTTGGGAAGCTACTGACCACATATCCACAGACGGCGCTCCACGGCGTCAGGTGAGCTTAATTTTTGCTACACTGTGCAACACAATGTTTGAACTCGTAACGCGATTCTTCTCAACTATGCTTACACTTTTGGTAACCTAATGAGGTGTTGGAAATATTTTTTATACGAAAGCTCGCATGGAAGCCATAGGTTATCAGTAAACATGTTTATTTGCGGGATTTTGCGGTTTGAAAATCAAAAAGGGGATTACGAATCGGTGATGACGTGTGATTCAAGATGGAAAATATTGGGTAGAAAGAAGTATATGTATGAAAAAGAGCGCTAGCTGCTTACCTTATATATGTTTGGAATTTTCGCTTAAATTGTCAAATATAAACAGATGAGCGTTAGATTTGTTTAAATGAATTGAACTGGATGATACTGATATACTAGAAAAGTCTCTACTTTTTGATTATTTCAAATATCGTTTTGGTGTGAAGCCTTGTAACGCCCATAAAAAGCATTACAGATAAGATCTCACATACAAAAGGAACACATATCCAAAACGCACTGTCTTATTTATTTATTTATTTATCAACAAATAGAACTGTCGATGTGAAGAAAAAATCAAAACAATATAGAACTTATAATAGATAAAAACTAAAGAAAACCAAAGCCTATAGAAATAACAAAAATGTCTAATAACGAATCCGAAACGGCCAGTTATGCCCCGATTCACAGCAGAGAGTAGTCAGAGACGTTATTAGACCTAACAAAAAAGAAAAGGAATAGAAAAAAGAGCAACACATATAAAGAAGATGTATAATTAAATTAAAATAAATTAAAGTACATAAATAATAAATGATAAAATATAGTTTAAAGCTGAAGGTGGGGAAACACTGACCCGCTGGGGGAAGCTTTATTATCCAGTCTGTCGAATCCAATTCCTTTCACCATTTTAATGCAAGATGGGGTTATTTTTCGAAAACTCAATTATTTATATAAAAACAAGTAAAAAAGCTAAAGTCGGGTGTCCCGACTTTGAAATACTCTGTACATATGTTTACAATAATTATAGAAAATAAAAAAATTAAGAAATAAAAAAAAAAAAATTTATCGATTTTACCTCTCTCGGTATTCGAACTCACGTAAAGGGTGTATAATTGCACATTTACATAGCAATTGCGTCTGTGTGAGTGTATGTATGCCTATGCGCATCTATTCGTGTCTGTGTAAGCATTTTCGCAGTCAACCAAACAGCAACATCAACAACAGCCGCGGGCAGCGCTTGAGCAGCGCTGCATCAGCAAATATATTTATGGCTATAATTTCTTGTTAAATCGGTCTATCATAATGAAATTTGGCATACGGACACATAATAACCAACTGGGGGTATTTCCAAAATTTTAGTTCGAAATTCCAAGAATTACGGGAGTTACGATTTGTGTGGTAGAGGGGGGAGGGAGGGGAATTCCAAAATATACATTTTCTGCGTATTCACATAAGGCATCTTGGACTAAAATTTGGTGTGCCTAGGTCTTATAGTCTCCGAGATATAGGCGATTATACGAATGGAAAATCGGGAAAACCCCCATAGGGTGGTAGTGGGGGGGGGGGGGGGGGGGGGGGGGGGGGGAATCAAAAAAAATAAAACAAAGTCGTATAGAATACACACATAACGCATCTTTGTGCAAAATTTGGTGTCTCTATCTCTTATAGTCTCTGAGATCCAGGTGTTCATACGGACGGACAGACGGACAGACAGACAGACAGGGCTAGATCGACTCGTCTCGTCATGCTGATCAAGAATATATATACTTTGTGGGGTCTGCCACGCCTCCTTCTGCCTGTTACATTTTTCAGCTCCCGCAAACCTAATATACTCTTGTACATTTCATGTACAGAGTAAGCTATTAAGCTATTACAATCAATGAAAGAGTATCTAAAATCAATTAAAAAAGAAACAGGATACATGTGTAGTTTTTTGAAGCATGAATTAAAGACATTAACTTAAACAGTATTTGTTATCTAGTATTTAAATTAAATAAGTAGCGGCATAACTTAAAGAGTAAGATTTAAATTTTATCGTAAATCTGAGCTTTGTGAAGGTATTTAATTCTTAATTTTATATTCTTAATAGAAGGTGAGGAAATCAAATATTCTTATATTCTTGCATTTAGCTAGTTGTGGGCTTGCAGATAGTCCTTGAAGTTTAAATTGTGTTGCACTGTTGACTAAACATCGAAAGTGAATCCGACTAATCAGTTTCGTTGCATCCTCCACAGATACGCACCATACACCATACCCGCCAGTGCCGCCACTGCCAATGCTGCGCTCATGCAGGCCCATCAGGCTCAGAGCGCCGCCGCCGCTGCCGCTCACCAGCACCAGCAAAACCACAATGCGGCCCACGCTGCGGCCGCAGCTGCACAGCAGCAACAACAACACACTGCCGGCGTGGGAGGCGTCAATCCGGCATCCCAGGCGCACTCTGCAGCCGCCGCCGCTGCTCTGGCTGCCAATGCCGCCGGTGGCGCCGCAGGCGCCGGTGCTCATTCCTTGGCTGCAGCCCAGCAGGCTGCTCTGGTGGCCGGCAATCCCTTGAACGCGGCGGCCGCAGCTGCAGCAGCCGCTGGTAACCCCGCAGCTGCCTACCCCAACTACGCGCTGACGAATGTGGACATGTCCAGCTTTCAGGGCGTCGATTGGAGCAGCATGTATGGCATGGGCATGTATGTCTAAGAAAGCAATGCCAGCTGCTGCCTGCCCCACTAGTTGTTAGTAATTGGGGAAGACACGCCACAGGCCCCTAAACAAACACACACACACACACACAGACACACTACACATACAAACACACACCTTCACACACACACACACACACCAAAACTCTCATTTGAAACAAAGTTTTCTGTGAGTGTTCCATTTTAGGGAGGAGGAGGAGGAGGAGGAACGGCTTGCTCTGTCTTCTTAGTACACTCAGCAGAAAGGATATTAAGTATTATATTTAAGGCGCACCCTCTTTTCCCCCCAAGAAGGCGTTCAATAATCACAAACAAACCGATAAGCAATAACAAAAACAAATGCATAGCAGCAGAAAATGCAACAAAATCATAATAAGAGTATGTTGATGTTGAGAAATTAATTGAGAAAATGAAATTAGGAAAAACGAAAAACAAAAACAAACTAAACCAAAAAACAAAAGCAAAAACAAAAACAATTAAAAAGCAAAAAAAAAAAAATGTAAAAAACCACCGATTGTGATTGCGTTTAAATGTAGTTTTTATAGTTCTTAGTGCATATAATAATAACATTCAAGAAATGAAATGAGAAAACATTTACATATGGAAACAACATACTATATAACAACATAAACCCATTTATAAAAGGATATATCCCTTATTGGATTAAAGCGGATATATCGCTGGAATATTTTCCGTTGAAAAACTATACTTACACAGCACAGCACATACTCAATAAATAGCTCACAAAATGAATTGAGGGACAGATGATCAGAAGACGCTCATTCATTAGAAATGTACTGTTTTGTTTCAAAATCAAATAATACTAATTATAATACCAATAATAACATTAAATGAATAATACACACGTTAGTTAGCTGAACTATCTTCAGTTATTTATCCAATTGTATGTATTGAAAAAAAAAACCAAGCTAAAAACAAAACAAAACATTTTGCTCAAGCTATGAAAGCAATATGGATTTTTCGAATATAAATATTATGCATACAACATACATATGTTAGGGAAGGACGGACGGACGGACGGAAGGAAGGAATTAAGGAAGGAAGAAGGAACAGCTTAAACTAACTATAGTTACTAATCATCCACCAGCGACATTCATTACGATAGGTTTAAAGATAGTTCTGAATTCGAATTTAAAATCATGAATCGCACTCAATCCTTCTTCAGTTCGTAGCTGTAAGTCGCGAGCAGACATCACACACAGATACAGATCCAGATACAGACATCCACAACACAACTCAACACAATACAATACCAGTAACTACTCTATTCCTGATCCATACACATCCTTTCCACAACTTGTTCCGCTCATTCCACCGCACTTGAACATTTTGGAAAGAGAATCCATCGAGTTTGTTAAATAAACGACAGCCATACATCAGCGATCTGCGAAACTACTGTACTCTCCGACATTGTATTGTGTTATTGAATAGCTGATTTGAAAATTTCCCTCACATCGATCTAAGTTATTGGTAGATGATAGTTGATACTACGAGTACTCGTATGTATATGTAACACGTATGTAAATCACTGGAGTATTATTAGTACGAAACTTTCCTTAATCATACTCATCTAATTACGCCCTAAGTTAGTAGTACACATGCGGATTAGTTCCCTAAGTATCATTTTATACAAAATGCTCAGCAAACCCGGAAGGAAATCTCCGGAACGGACCGTACCGTACCGGCATTACCTTACCAATCATTTTTGAACAACTTCTCAGCCTTAGTTTTCTATTAACCAACACCAGTCTCTGTAGCTAGTAGGCTACTCTTACTAATTGATTGGAACATTTTTAATAGAACTATAATTATAATTTCCCATCATTTATCCTTTCATTCATCTCTCTTTCTCTCTCTCTATCACTGTCTCATCTTTTCAATATCATGCCTCGTACATTTTTCTCCAAACTAATATAATTCATTATTTAGTTTAAGTAACTTTACGTTTTGTAGTTGAATGAATAACAAAAGCGAAAACAAATACACAAGGATTTAGTTTTAATCATATGTTGTAATTAATATTTTGTAGCGTTGGCATTTGATTTGTTTGCTATAGAATTCTAGAATTACATACACATCAGTTCTATATCTGAGCTGAGCTGAGCTGAGCTAAGCTGATCCGATTCGGTCCGATCCGATCCGATCCGCTCTGAATTGCTCTACAAACAACACTCTCTCTCGACAACATTATTTCCGATGCATGCATGTTTGGAAGACTTAATTTTAATTTAAATCCTTTTTTGTTTGTTTCTTAAGTAATATTTTGAGTATGTAAATACATATAGCATTTATAATAAACACATACATACACACGATATCATGATGAAACTCGAGTAAATTATTGTTTTTAATAAACTGGTTTGCGAAAAACTTTGCCGTCGAATCGAGCAAAAAGCATTTGTGTTTTTATTTGCTTTGTATATACTATACATATATATGGTCGATATTTATTTGTACTTGTTTGTATTTGTATTATTTTCCTTAGTTGTTGTTATTGCTGTAATCCTTCCTCCACACATACTATACCTTCCTATAATCCCCACCACCCCATCTCGTATTATTTGTCGTACTCTTTTGAATGTAGAGCTCGTAAACATATTAGTCTCGCCCTGATGGGAGGTGAGTATGGTGTGTTGTTCATATGTAGTCTTATCCATTCCTGCCTTGGCCTGATCTGATCCTTGATCATCGCTCTGGAGAGGGTGCAGCTGAACCGACTTGTACACCTCCAAGATTTTTTTTTTTGTATTTTGCAGAACCAAAGAATTTGTTTGATACACAGATGGAGACTTTGCGACGTTCGTTAGACAGGAGTTGTGCTTCATTTTATTTTAAAATTAAAATACGAATAAGTTTATTTATTTATTTATACTTAATTACGCTAAGTACTTACAACACACATTCCGAGATATGGTGCCATTATAAAATATAGTTTTCATTTCTGCCAGCTTAAGATCTCAATTTGTTTACCGTAGCGAACGATTCGAAATACTAAATCACAATTTGTATAACCCGCAGAAATGTTGGCTTCTTGTACATACATACATACTATATACATTTTAATAAACATCCACCTTTTTCTGTATTTTAAATGCTAAAGACTGTTGATTTAATTTTAATTACCTAACTGTGTTTCCTGTTAGAAAGGGGGGGAACTACTCGAATGTATTTCGTTCATGCTTTCATTACTGCTTTCTTGCTTTCCTTTTTATTCTTGCTTTCCTTTTTATTCTTGTACACTTTAGAGAATTTTGAACACATCCACCCCAAATTTATTCAAAACGGTATACTACTATAAGTCATGGCAAATCCGAATCAACTGCAACAGTATACTTTTTGTGCGAACATCGACATTTGTTTGGAATGAAATGTAGAATCTTGCTACCCTCTGTTATATTATGGCGTATATAGCGCCCCACACAATATACATATATTGATAAATATATACATATATACATATATATCTATATAGTCGAACATCGTTTAAATAATTCTTTCAAAACTAAGTTTACATGGTTTTTGAGTAGCGTTTGAATAAGAAAGTGTTCATAGGCCGCCTTTGTGCCCGACATTCGTACTTGCAAATAGTTTTCGTTCGTTTTTTTTTCTTACTCAAGTCTTGATATCTATGTATTCTTGTAAAATATGTAGAACCTTGTATTTTTCAGTAGCCTCATACTATGTAGAACCACATACTACTTATACATACCCACATACATACATACATACTTTACAATCTATATAGCATGAAGAAACATGTATACATAGCAGCCCCAATCAATTACATAAAACTAAACCGTAGATGATGTCGAGAATCCATTCGAGTTTGAATCAGACAACAACAAATACTAAAAATAAAATACTGAAATACTGAAATTCATATCATTTCACAATCTTGATTAATGTACGAGAGGGAAATTTTTAAAGACATACCATTCTCATTATATTACTTAGTGTATAACATGACAATAAAATCAACTGTGTTTCAACATTCAAGTGTCAGAATTCGTAAACCAAATTACCTAAAAATACTCGTAACTAAAATATATATATACATAGTACATACTCGTCGTATATCTCGAACTGTAGATTAAAGAAAACAAAAGAAAAACCAGACCATTGGAGCGCGTAGCGAGCAATGTGGCTATAGCTATGCATATAGCCTATGGCTGGGCTATTGTATTAACAATAGTTGGTGTTCTTTCATATACAACAAAAAAAACAAGAACAAAACAAACAAACAACATATAGTATATATAGATATGACATCTTTATAGATATTTACATGCAGCGATATTTAGCAAGAACGTGATATATTCAATTAGAGAACATTCTTATACATACATATATATGTATTATATGTATATATCTATTATATATGTGTATATATGCCAACATCTTTACCAAAGGCAACTCTACTGATGTCGAGTCTTCTAATTTTTATTTTCGTTTTCGTTTTTCGGGTACGGCGAGGATGGCATTTTATATACCGGGATGCGTCCTCGTCAACTGTTGTTGTGAACTGCAAACGCATATCACTCTGAAGGTGTCATTAAAATTATAACTAAAACAAAACAAAGAGAAAACATGGGTAATACTTAGTACGAACGCGTATGCCGGTTGGGGTGTACTTAGAATCAGACTTAAGCAACCGAAGCATACGTATATAGGGAGAGGTATGGGTAACGTGTATCAAGGAGTTTTTCTATATAGTTACAGCAACCCAATTGTATCCTCAGCGTCCTGTGTGTACAATCTGGTGATCATGCCGAAACGACCGAACCGATTCTTCGGTACCCCTTCGGTTTGATTCCCCGATCGGACATAGCACAGTCACTTCTACAAAACCTTTGAGACTTTAGCGCAGACAACGAAAGACAAGTAGGATTTAACAGTAAACTATGAAGTTAGTTGTTCTATATAGTACACATATAGAGTTCATTTATGTGACTTCTGAGGACCAAAATTAACAAACATTTTTATCGCAAATCAGGTAAACCAAAACGAAACCAAAAACTTATTGTACGACATAGACACACACACACACCCAATGTTCTTGAGTTCTTGTAGTCGTTGTGATTTCCTTTAATAGCTTCTTGCGATTATATTTTGGGTTTATCATTTATCGATCTAATTAAATGCATACGACCGTCGTAACAACAACGGACAGACATCACATACCAATTCAGAACAGAAAAGAAACAAAACAAAACTACAAAACCAAAAAGCTCTTAAAATCTAGTCAATTGCTGTGCATAGACACATTCTAAATACAAATACCGAATAATCTGTCAACACAGTACTTATAGTTAAGGATACAACTAAAGGAGATACTACACAGGTTACACACACGTACATACGAGTAAGTAAGTACTACTTATATACTTGTATTGCATAGGTAAGGCCCATCTCACCTTTAACCGAGTTAACACCAAATCTGTTTAGCAGCTGCAGAAGTGGAAGTGCAAAGGGATGGGGTAGATGGTCCCAAATGTATTCCATTTCAAGGATCAATAATACATATATAAATAAACAATAGGCTTAGTGGCAAGACATCGTGTTTTGTATACAAATTAAAAGCAATCCATGAAGCTAACTTTAGTAAGTAAATAAAACTTAAACTTACATACAACATACAGCATATAGTGCATACTATACAAGTATATAATGAACAAGCTATTTCAAATTTGATTGCCTAAATTATTTATTAAGTGAAACTTATTGCGAATGTTAATACTACTTATTAACTGGTGTTTTTGTTCAAATCAAGTGAAGAATGTGTGTAAAGCGAAATCAAAGACAACAATGAAAAGAAAAATAAAAACTATATTTGAAGCTAATATTTCTAAGTGTTAGACTAACACTATTTATATATTTACTAAACAGATGTAATATTTAAACGGACATATATACAATATACAAAATATATATATATCTATTATATATGAGGGGAGAAACCCTCTCCTCCCCATCACAATAAATGTTATTTTTAAAAGCTCGTAACATATCAATTATATTGAGCGATATATTTTGAAACGGGAAACTAAAACAAAAACAAATCACACAAACAAACGTGTAACGAAACGAGCGAATTCAACACCAAGTTCAATTTTGTTTTATATATGTATAAAAATTAGGCTTATAACAAAAAGGAAAACGGAAACAAATACCAATACAAATACGTGTATGAGTTCAAAATGCTATGACAACTTCTTATAAGGATACACATAGTCTAAACACAGTTGGCGTAGTATTCGTGGACAGACAACGATCGGGCAAAATAACCCTCTGTTGTATATACGTTTTCAAAACCTTAGGGAAAAACAACCAAATCGCAGTGTTTTCACAAGTTGGCATTTCATGAGATCAGGACGTTATATTTAATAAAAAGAAAGAGTACACCCGATTATTGACTGCCCGTGAATACCCTACTAGTTTTTATCGAAAAGTGAGGCAGTGCCATAATCGCACTACCTTCTGAACATATATTACTTATGTTAGACTCGTCTTCCAGCAACTAATTAAAAAGACAACACAAAAATGTAACAAACCTAATGAAAACTTTCGTACACTTCAGAGTTGATAAGCGAAATCAATGGGTCTCTTGGCCAACCTTCCATTGTCGATGGATAATGCTCCCACATGAAATGTACAATTGGCACAACATGCTTGTTACTCTCATTTGCATATACATATTTACTTAACAATTTTCATAAATGTGGGTGGTTCTGCAATTTAAAGTCTTCTCAAGTAAATCAGATTATTAGGTGGTAGAAGAATAGTGGTAAGAGACAAGAAAGCATGCTCTTATCATATGCTTGTCAGAATACACGCCACACAACAGTCGAAGAAGGTACCTAGACTCTTAAATAATTTATTTACTTTTCGTTTTCAAAACATGGG